TGGCCGGATGGCCATGGACGTGGTCGGATGGCCGTGTGGCCGGATGTTGCCGCGTGGCCGTGGCCATGGCCGTGGCCGGACGGTCGTGACCTACACTGGCTGCATGGCCAGAAGCACTCGGTAGCAGCGATGAGGCGGCAGCAGCAGCAGCAGCAGCCGCAGCAGCAGCGGTCGACGCGAGAGAATCGATGCGAACGGGCGCCCCTCTTCCGCGGCTCCGCGCGCGCCCCGGGTGAAACCTCAAAGTTCGTCCTGGTACGCGAGCTCGTACCGGACATCTCCAGTGGCTAGGTAGGCAAAAACCTTCCAGAGCTCGCAAAGGAAGAAGCACCAAAAGGTCTCATCCTGGTCCTCAAAGGACAGGAGGACCGGTTCCAAGGTGCTACTGCCTGCGGCGAGGGCCCGCATTTGCCCCAAGATGCTGCCGCGGAAGTGCACCAAAAGGCGGCTGAAATGGCGCATTGGCCCCATGCCCGCGGCATCTCGAAGAAAGCCGCGGCCTCCAGCTTCGCAGATGAGCAAGTTCAGACACATGCGCGCCCCGGCGGAGGTAAAACCAAACCGCTCCCGCGCCAAGTTCCGTCGTGTTGCTGCGGCGTGAAAGCCGCGGCACAGCGGCGCCCGGCGCAGAAGCTGGAAGATATTTTTGGCCGTGAGAGGTCCAACCTGTGGCCACTGCAGAAGCTGCTCGCAAAGCTCCGCCTTGCTGGCGTGCAGCGCCTGCCCGCAGCCGCTCGGATCCGGCAGGGTCCACTCTAGGGGAGGCAGCGCCACATCGAAGGCAACGCGCACATATGCCTCCTGCGCGGCACGGTCGCCGACGCAGGAGTTGTAGTGCCGCCGGTTGGGGCCGAAGCTCTGCGTGAAGAGCTCTCGCGGCTCCACTGCGCTCGCGCGCAGTTCTGCCAGGACGAGAGTGATTCCATGCTGCACCGAGTCCCAGGGCTCGGAGAAGCACCGCAAAGCCGCCGCCGTGCGACTGCAGGACCGTGCCATGACGTAGGCCTTCCGTTCCGCGTCAGGCACACTGACGGCCTGCGCCAAGGCGGCGTCAAAGCGTGTGGTGCAAAAGTCCCACATCTCGTCATTCACTTTCAGCACTTCCAGGAGGTGACGAATGCGGGTGTCCTCGGGCGCGTTGCCCCCGCCCACCGCATATACGAAGCTCCCAGGGAACGAGGCCTGCGCTAACTGCGCCACGTCCGCCGGCAGCCGTGCGTAGCGCCGCTCCCGGGGTGTCCCAGGACGCCGCAGGGCAACCCAGCGACGAACCAGGAGGAAGCCAGCAGCATAGCGAAGGACCTCGTTGCGACGCACCGGGGTGCGCGCGCCCAGGAGGTCCTCCACCGCGAGCATCCAAGCATCCGCCGCCAGCTGCGGGTAGCATGGCTGCTCCGCGTCGCGGCGACGACGCCGCATCTGCGGCAGCCTCGCCGCGCCAGTAGCCGGCGCCAGCACACCCACACACGGCTGAGAGCCAAAACAGCTGCAACCCAGACCGCGGGCGTGGCTGGATTCCAACGAGCACGACGGAGGAGACCGAGCCCGCGAGTGCACTCTTCGACGTGCGGACCTCCGAGGCCAGGGCTGGACCGGCCGCTAGCAAGGATAAGACAGAAGCATTCCGACAATGTTTCTCCCAACACGACCCGCCCAGAAACACGCACCCCGAGCCCACATCGTGTCCACCCCAGAACACTTCCATTGCCAGGGCTTTTGCAAAGAAGGTCGGGCTGCTGAACATCGATCACCCCAAAAAAATGCCACCAGTTCGACCAGTTCTTCATTTTACTCACCCTAGGCGTTGGAAGCTAGCCCTGTATTGGTCCGGTACTGGAGGGTGGCCTACATCAAGGCCTCGAAAGACATTGCGTGCAAACTGTTTGAGTTCATGCTGAAACTGCTTGACCGATTCCTCACCTTTGTCATTTCCCACCGAGGAGCTCACGCCCCGCAACTCGTTGGCAATGGGCAAAGTATGGCCCCATGCATCCAAACAGTAAAACACAGTGACTTGAAGTAAGCCAGTGTGCCTGTCATCTGAGGGAAACCATTATATGTTTTGCGATCTGAGCTGTCCTTGAAAGCGAATGATGTCTGGAGATTGGTGTGAATTGCCAGCTGTGCAAGTCTTTTTTGGGATGACTGAATGGATAGAAGACCGTGTGAATGAGAGTCCAAAACACTTGAGAACACTTGCGTTGAACATGGTCTGCCATTCAACTTTAAGTGTGATTGGGGTGATAATGCGCCCTGTGATCGGTGCTGAAACGCGGCAAGTGATCCTGGACCAAAGACGTGAGCGAAACAGAGCATGGCTGCGCAGGCCTCCTTTTCATCTTTCATGGTGTTTGCTTCTTTCATGTTCTTCTTTTCTTTCTTCGGTCTTGTGGAAACTTTTGACCGTGTTTCCAACATCCCTTTCCCGTGTACCTTTCATGATCCCAACCCTCGTTTACAATGGAATCAACCTCGAATGAATTGAATCTTACTTAGCGACAAAAGTGGGGACACGGAGTTTCGGTGCTACGACCGGCCAGGACCGAGCTACCCCGGGGCCTATCCCCATACAGAACTCCCACAGCGTAAAATTACGGTACGTCGAGTGATCCCCACCATGACATTGCAAAACCGCTTGTTCACGCACGTTTGTCTGAAGCTAGCATAAAAGCTAAGAACCCAGACCGCGGAAAAAACGGAGGGATAACAACAAAATACCGGCAAAACAGCTTGTTGACTCCACTTTTGTCTCAAGCTTTGGTCACGCGACTGCCTGGCGTCACTAACTAGCCCGAGCCCTTGGACCATAGCTGTGGTACACAACGGACGCACCATCTCGCAGGGAACCGGACAGTCCAGCTGGCATAGCTGTTGACATTCTATCTGGCTTGGCTTTGGAGTGGGGGGCGTTGGGGTCCGGCAGAAGCACTGGGCAGGGATGAGCGCGGCGGAGGTCCGGCAGCGAACACTGGGGGCGTGGATGGTCGTGGTTGACGTCTGGCAGGGAACACTGGACGTGGATGGTCGTGGTGGAGGCCCGGTAGGGAACAGTAGTGGGCGGTGGATGGTCGTGATTGCGGTCCGGCAGAGACCACTGGCCGTGGATGGTCGTGATGGAGTGGTGCCTTGCAGGCTGTTCAAGTAGTCCTTTCCTGCCCACCTGGTGCCTCCCTGCTGCTT